CACAATTTTTTCTCCACTGAATTGGATGAAATGGTGTCAGACTCATTTCCATCGACTAGCAGGGTTCACTTTTTTACAATTAAGGTATGGGTCGCACTTGGGCAAAGTTTTCAACTTTGCCGGCAAAAAAACCACAAAAATTTGAAACCGCAACCGGAAAGCAAACTTCTGGTTTCAACTATCAGGGTCGCACTAGGTGAAAAAATATGTCAGTGATGACACTTTGATAAACCAGACACACGTTTATCCACGTGTTATGGGGAGAGAGCAATGAGCTGAAAAAGGAAAACAAACGTTAAAAAAATGCGTCCCGTTGAAGCATTGTTAATAACGATCACGGTGATGCTTATTCTTCTTACTCAGTCAAATCACGAGCACCTTTTTGTCTTTCGTATGATGTATGAAAGATGGGTTAACACCTGTTTAACTGTTTTGACTGCCGGTATGAAATTGGTTCTGCGAAGGGCTCTCAATATTTCCAATAGTTGCCTCTTCAGGACCACAATTTTGGCCTTGAGGGTACACATATTGTGAATATTCTGCGTTGCCACCGAAATAAACGGGGAACTGCGATGAATTGTAATAATAAAATCCATGTCCGTTCATGATAAAGAAAGAGCGCGAACTGAAGTAGATCTCGCGCGCTGTTAATTTTATTGCATACCATCTGTTTTCTGTTTACTGACAAGCGATGACAGTTACCGCTGTGATAGCTATTGTTTAGCCCGACTTTTCCTAGCCTGCGAAGCAAGCCCTGGGGGAGAGGAGGGGGAATTGGGACGAGCGGAATGTGCGGAGGGCAGAGGGAGGGCTTGTCACAGACCCCCACTAACCAATGAAATTTCCGATCTCGTATGGACGAAAAATTCCCATTGGCTGAGAGCAACATGTTGTCAATCAACCCTTCAAACTAAACAGTCTTCGTGGCGACTACCTTTTAGAAAATGACGGACGCCGGTGATTTCGAAAAGTTCTGCCCTCAAGAATTGATGTCGAAGTAGAATATTTGTGGCAGCCATTCACTTGTTCGAGCTCAGGGCCTTGATAAGAATGGCGTCTTCATTCTCAAACTTGCCCTTAACCACAACATTGCAAAGCTGATGGACGTTGGATCCAAATCATCATTGTTTAAATTTGCATCCATCGCTGAAGTTTATAGTTGTCCTTTCGTCGGCGAGTCAAGCAACGCTTCCCTGCTAGATGTAGGTTTTGCATGTTCGGGGAGCGGACACGCAAGCTCTTTCTACCTGGACATATTCCTGTGGGTGTTGAGAACTTTCATTTCGACGAAACATCACGGGAATCCGGACATTGAGAAGTGGCCTTATTCAACAATTCATAAAACTGGAAAAAACTGTTAGCTTTTCTTGCACAAGGAAGGCATATAAATTGAGATACGTGCGACTTATTTAGAAGTGAAAACCGACCGTTCGAAGGCGATCCGCGAAGACATACTGAAATTCTTCCCTTTGACTCTGATTAAAAATGTTTACAAAACTCTT